CTCAGCTGTCATGATGATGATTTTTCCAAATCTCAAAGTCATTATACAGGGTAATTGTTAAAACACCTGGGTTCGAGTCTCATGCGAGCATTAATGTCTCATTATGCACTTTTTCCCATTTCACACAAGGCTTTCACAGTTCCTGTGACAGTTATGAATCGTGTACATTAGCCAGGGTTGGCTTTGAGCCTGAAGAATGATGGCCATTCCACATATGTCAGCCCCTCATGAGGGTCCCAGTCACTAGGCGTGTGCAGAGCCGACCCTCCCTTTCACATTAGTGGAATTCTGAGTCTGATCCCTGTAACATCGTGTTTGGCCTGCACATATTCTGAGGGTGGAGATAAGAAAAGAAAGGCCATTCTTCATTTCATAAACGCCATGGCGGACGATTCCAAGATGGAACCGCTCAAGGGAGTACCAACACACAGTGGGAGAGGCAGGGGACCTCTCCTAATGATTTTAATGTTGAATCAAAGTCTCTGGATGTTTTGGCATTCTTTAAGATTCTTTAAGAAAAACATTAGGACAGATGGGAGTATTTGGAAATATAGTCCAAAAGCGCCCCTTAAAGCTGAAAATGGGTTCCTCCACTATTATGCTTCTTTGTAGGAGTGTGTGATACCATCTCCACTCCAGAGAGTCTTTTGAAATAAAGTTATTTATTGGTTGGAAGAATGCTGTGCACTACTAGTTACGACATTGAATGTTCACATCAAATATTTCACAATCCTCAAAATGACTAAAAATAATGTACTGTATATGCATGTTGCAGTCTGGCTGGGAACACTGGTGGTCTGAATACTGGAATTGAGAGAATGCCATTAACAGCTAAGTTGGTATTCCAATAACTATAGAGGGAATTTTTGCACATGGATGTATAGCTGGCGGCTATATATAAACAAGTGGTATCTGAAATATGTGCATGTGTGCGATCTCCTTTTGGTTTTAATGACATAAGCATATAAGCTGACATAAAACCCGATTTGAGATTAGGGATGTACCAATCTTTAAATTCTGGCCAATGAGATAAGCCAATAATCATTTTCATGTCATGGTCGATATTGAATTTTTACAGTTTTTTTTTTCTTCTAAATAAATAAATAAAACATGAAAAACTAAAACCCAATCATTTTAAATGCTATATGAATTTACAATGGTTTTAAAAAATATTCATTTTTAGATGTATTATTTAAGTGTTATTAAATAAGATTTATATGAAAATCTTTTTTTTTTTTTTTACACCATATTTTTATTTTTGTGTAAAAAAGTTTTATTTCTGGTTTTAAATGAAAAAGAAAAATCTTTGTGTTCTCAGATTTTTAGACATTACCTTATTTCCGGTTCACTTTTATGGGCTGTCCCAGACAAAAGATGCCCAATTGTGCCAATATCTGTGGCCTGTGCATATGCTTTTATTCACTTGTAGTATACAGGATGATGGGCAACTTCCCACACAACAGCTCTGTCTGATTAAAGTCACGTTCACTGAGTCATGACAAAGGATTGAAATTAGCCAAATGGACACAACACTGGAGCCGTGCACACTGAGTTGTGCATATTGTCTGCTCCAGCAGGTGCCTTTGGCCGAATTAAAGGGGCTCCATAGCAACCATTGTTGAAACCCTCCAACCTTGAGGTTTTTGCACCCAAACAAGCGGGGGTTCGGGCAGTGCAGACTTTCAGCTAGTGGGGGCGCACAATCTTTATTCAGAGCCACTGGTTTGTGTGATTCCTTGGAGGAACTCATCTCAGGGGCTGTTTACACATCGTTTTCAACTAGAAGTGGAAATGGCGTTTTAGGGGCCTGAAAATGCCTTTTAGAAAGGGGTTTCAAAGTGCAAGTTTTTGAAAACAATACCATTATCTATACCGCCATCGTCTCTGCGTAAACTACAAAAATGGTGACGTCATGCACATGCTTATTACGTGTTCATTCTAGGCGTGTAGTGTTTCTTTACAAAATGACATCGCCAACTATACTAGTCTGACCTGCATAAGGCCGTGTGTCCACCAAAGCGTTTTTAGCCAGCTGAAAACGCTAGACTCTCTGCTGAAGATGCCGTGCTTTGGGCGCTTGAGAGCGTTTTGGCAGCGCAGCGTTTTTTCCGTTGAGACGTTTCGTTGCTATGATACAGAATATCCGCAGCACAGTTTGAATGTTGTGACAGTTGGTCAGTGTGGTTTAGTCGTGCCCCTCCTCCACTGTGATTGGACGGCTGGGTAAAAAGTGACAGTGATGAGCGCTGCGTTTTATCCAAAGTTGAACATTTTTCAACTCTCTGCTACCATAAAAAATACTCAGCGCCTCGTTACGCTCATGGCGTTTAAAAAACGCGGTGCTCCCATTGAAATCAATTGAAAACATACGCCAGGCGCATGGAAAAAAGCTTTGGTGGACACATGGGCTAATGCATCCGTGTAATATTTCAGACCGTTCTCATCCCAAGGTGTCATATACTGACGCTTTTGACAATGCGTATACATCCGACGCACAGATCACCCTTTAGCGTCAATATGAGACGCAGCTATATATGGGTCAGAAGGCGCCTCCTAGTGGTCTAACCCTAACCCTACCCCAGACCTAAACCTACTCATAACCAAAGCGTGTTATATTGACGCGAAAGGGTGCCATGTGCATTGGATGTATACGCATTGTCAAAAGCGTCACTATATGATGCCATAGGATGAGAATGCGTTGAATATTTAGGAGGATCTGTGGACAGATATGGAATATAATATTCAAAACTATGTTTTAGTAGTGTATAAAGACCTTATATAATGAACCGTTATGTTTTTATTACCTTAGAATGAGTCCCCTTACATTGAAATAGCCTTTTTGTGCTGACATGTTTCTATGGTAGCCCTAAATGGACAAACTATTACAGAGCATGTTTTGTCACTATATTGTTCTTCATGGAAAGAAGCTATAGCTATATGAAGCAATGAAATGACATATCGTATTTATTGTTGTACTGAATAATTAAGTAAACGTAATTTCTTAATTTCTCTTTGTAAAGAAACCTTATTGCTTAACTGCTACTCTGCTGTCTCAGACGACGACATATTTTCCTGTCAGCCACCGTAACTTCAGTTGGTTGCATTTCCCAACCTCACCACTAGATGCTGCTAAAATTTACATACTGCACCTTTGAGTCAACTGATCACCTTTTACGGTTTTGCTAAGTTTGTTTAGCTGCCTGATTCTCTTGTTCTTATTCATAATGTACACAAAAATGTATTTTCATATTTCTTCTGTCACAAAAAAGTACTAGATTTCTGAAACTCTGGTATCTCTAAGCTTTACAATTTTGCATTACTGTTCATTCAATTAAGTGGATCCAGATGCTTTGAGCAATGACCACACAAACACATACTTTACATCTTGTGAAAAGTCTCCACGTCACACAGCGTAAACTTCATTGAAATGTGCGTGTTACTCTTTTAGGTTAACACAGAGCCCAGGACGGACATTTATGCAACATTTCCTGCCAGGTATGTTAAACGATAAGCCTACATTTATGTGGATGTGATAGTGTTTCTGTGAAAAGCTCTATTTGGGCCAGCGTGGTGGTTGTATGTGAGTTTAAGCTCTTGGCATGACAGATTCTGGTTGCAGGAATTCTCATCTGGTCCAGTTCTCGCCTCTGGCGGTCATCCAAAGAATTGAGCTCAAGGGTTTGGATTAGCCTAGACCACGGATGGAGTTTAATCAGATCTCATCACGATAATATGCATGATTCTATTATATACAGCTTGTCCATTCAAGGTGCTGAAATACAATATAGGGGTGTTTTGTTGATCTATTTGGGTGACAGATCATTTTCCAGCCCCAGAGTTTTCGGGCTCAACAAATTATCTGGATTTAGACAGTTGCAGTTGCTAGAGATAACCAAGTACAATACCCTTTCTGTCTGACTATCTGTTGGTCATACTGCATTATACTCCCTCTCGAATTCTCATGTTTTCTACTCAAACAGCTGTGGCTGTGACTCCAGATGGTTTTAAGAAGATAGGAAAGACTAGTGCTGATCATTTCTGATCATTTTAATTATTTTAAGCTATGTATTTATTAATCTGAAACTTTGATTTCTTACATTTGTATGCTGCAAATTAAAGTCGTTTTGAAATACAACTTAGCCCTTATTAATTTAGAGGTACACTATGTAACTTATCTAACATGATGTAATATGACCCTCTAGCTGTTAAAAACAAACTTATTTTTACTGTTAATCAGATTATTAAAAAACATATATATTTTAAATGTTATTTTAAATGAAATAAAGAATTATATTAACTTATTGTATGCCAAACCCTATTAACCTTTTCCCTCGCTCACAGGTTTGTATAATTATCAAGCAAATGCATAAAACATAGACAGCATATGTGCTTTGTAGTTACAGTTGAAGTCAATGCGAAATGTAGTGTTTACAACCCTCCTCATCTGCTCAACCATGGCATTTCTACATTCAAGTGCCTGGAAACTCACATTTTCAATTTGTTGATGTAATTTCCACTGAAACAGGAAGACCGGGTGGGACATATTGTACAGCTCCTCCCCTTTAAATAAAACAGCCAATAGCGATTCGTTTATATCACATCGTGGCCACAGCAGTTGAGCTCAGTAAAGTCGCAGTTTACTACTAATTTCTAACCGTTTCTCCTCCTAATCTCCTCAATATCGCTTTAAAATATAGCATTCTGTGGAGAATTCAAATGAATACATTTTATGTGCTGACTTCATGTATATGATGTGTGATATATGGTGCTATCATTTTGATATCATGGGGACTTTAAAGTGAATGTTTTGAGTTGTTCCACCTTCTCCCAGGTGACCATATGTAGTACAAAGCCTGCCCTCAGCAGCACTTGATGTGAAGGGATAATCCTGGTTTACAGATTAGATAAGGCAAGCTAACTTGAGTAGTGCAGTATTCCCTCAGTATAATGCTTTAGGTAGTTAGTGAGAAGACAACAGAACACTAGACTTGTTTTCTTCGATTCTTGTGACGAACCTTTGATCCTTTTGTTTGTGAAGAACTCAGATTTACTCTTACAGATCTTTTCCAACTCTGTCATGATTAGTGACTTTTGGAGACTTCATATGTGTAGAGGTTTCTCCGGACACCTAGTTGTCTGAAAAGGATGGATGTGGAAAACCTGTGGTTGAATGTCCCAAACTGGATTTAAGTTGAGATACTTTTGTCAAGCACAGAATGATTGCATACGTAGACTGTCTCTCCACCGAACCAGCTGGGAAATGCTGGAATAGGACCTACTATGAGGACGAGGATGAACTTCTTCCTCTGTATACTCGCAAACTGAACCTCCAGCCCAAGACGGAGGGCAGCCTTCGCCGCAGACTCCTCACCTCCAAAATTCACCAGCAGCAGGACGCCCTATGGGCACCCAAACCCTGGGCAGGACCACCGGCTCGAAAGAGCGCCACACTGCAGGGCCAGCCCAACTACACCTCCAGCCCGCCACGCAACGACTTGAGAGGTAGCACTTAAAATCTAGTTTGCTTTTGTTCATCAGAGGAGCTTTTGTTTTGCAGCTTAAATACAAAAGCTGTTGTCATAACAAAGAATAGCTGGTGGTATTAACAGGTGTTAAAATCTAAGAACTAGTCCCTTGAAACTGGGTTTTGACAGGTTTTTGGTGGTAGTTGAAGCGCAGTGATTAAAGTGTAGTTTAATGTGTTGGCCAGTTTGAAGGTTGGTGTCTGAAGTCTGGTATGAGGCAGGCCATGACAAGACTAGTGCTGGGATATACCATAACAGCAAGTGTTACTGAACTAAAGAGAGATTTGTAGATAATCTGCTGAGGAGAATACAGGAATGTTCGAAGGGAAGTTCTTTCAAACATTTTAAGTTGTCTTTTAGCTGTCTTGAGTTTAAAGGGATATTTAAACTGCAAATTGGTCATCATTTACTCACCCTCATGTCATTACAAACCTGTATGACTTCTTTCTTCAGAGGAATACAAACGGAAAGATGTTGGAGATACTGACACTGACTGCAATGTCAAAAGCACCAGTAAAGTCAAAATGATCTGACTTAAAATAATGATTGTTTCGTGAATCAGGCCAGTGATATTTTAGTAAGATTTATCTGTTATTATAGGCTAGTATTTATTTTGAATTAGCTTTTCTTTATAGATTCTCGTAAATAAAGTTTTAGTAATTTTGATATGTGCTTTTGTACATTTTGTTGTTGTTTATGGTAATTTTAGTCCCTCAGCTTTAACTTATTTTATTAGCTGCCATGCCAACAATTCCAGTAATGTAATCTCCATCTAATATTTAAATATTATTTCATCATTCAGCATTAACAAAATTAATTTTAATAGTTTTAGGTAACAATAACAACACTGAATCAGGCATTTCATGAAGTTTTTCAGTGATTAACAACATATTTGTTTGTCTGTTTTACATTTAACTTTGTTTACAAGTCATACTGTATATACCACTTTCGTGGTGTTTTTGGCCCTATTGAAGATTGAAAGCTTCTGTCATCATTCATTGTAATTGCATTAAAAAGATAGTTTTGACAGAATTTACAGATGAACAATTTACTTAAAATTTGTGATTTTTTGATACATTTGCAATCTGGATTTACTGTACCCTGTACAGAAATACCTCTTACTGTAATTACAAACTAAACACACTGTACAAGTTGTCTGATTTCCCAGAAGCTAGTTTTATCAGTGGGCCAATTCGCTCAGATTAAACCCAGTTACTTAAAAGACTTATCCAGTACAAAATATGTACAAATTGCATGTAATATTAATCCAGAGGCTTGTTTAGACAGAGTTTTGGTTTGGGCCTCACATTGAGAGAAGAATGTGTAATGTGGACTAAGCCTCAGGTTCTTGGCAGACAACATAGCAGATTTCTTTTGACTGTGTTAAAATATCATCCAATCCACCAGGCAAGCTGCTCCTTACATCAGATGTGGAGACAGATGTCTCAGAAACACCATATGTGACCTACAGTCCACTCCAATCAAAATTCAGTTCTTGATGCTCTTTGAATAATTTTCAAATCATGCTGGAGACCGGGATCAGGTATTACACAAACTTGTGAAGTTCACAAAATCCAGGCGATACTGTTATTAAAGCAAAAATATGATTGTAAATACTGACTATTATATCAAATCAAATGTCCTTGTATTATAATGATGGTTTGTACTTGTGTTGAGGCATCCATTTGTTTTAAAATGCTTTGTTGGATTCAGCTTCTCTTCTGACACTAGTTTAGCACGCACTTATTTAGCGAGGTGGCCCACAGTCCATACGGTGTGGTAAACACTTCTAATGCGGTCTAATTAAGGTAATTACTTTTTAAATAGGCTTTGTGCTACACACAGCTGCTCAGGGATGCACGTACATGACTCGCTCACACAATCACACACACCTTTCTCCATGAATGTCAATACAACAGTACAGTGAATTTTACTTCCTAGTGTTATGTTTTTGTCATCATCCTTTTCCCAAGAGCCCCTCCTTTATTCTCCATTGTTAGTCCATTGAAGGCTGAGATACAATGTTGTGCCACAAGATGGCACAATTCTTTTACATTCCAGATACTTCAACTTTTCATAGTCATTATTTATTTCCAATTTGAATGTTTATTATGTTTTCCTAGTAATCAGAAAGGATTGGGACCTCAGTTCACCCAAAAATGAAAATGATTCACCCTCACAGTGGAACACAAATCAAGAATTTCTCCATACAATGAAAGTGAATAGACACTTAGGGTTTCAAACTAAAACAATTAATAAAATAATTAATTTACAGTACCAAGTCCAAAAGTTGGTGGTCAGTAATATTTAAAAAGAAAAGAAAAAACTTTTCAGAAGAATTTTCAGCAGTCATTATTCCAGTCTTCAGTATGGATCTATGATGATTGCATAGGGTCAGTGTAAGGGGATATAATATACAGTTTGTACATTATAAAAACCATTACGTCTTTGGGAAGTCCCCATAAAACATTGAAAACTGTGTGTGTGGTTTTATTGATTTCTATTTCATTTCTTTTTTTTTCTTGATTTCTATTTCATCATAAAGATATAAATGTGAACAGTCACTCTGATTGGCTGTAGCTTATGACACTCTCTGATTGGCTGCTCTACCTATACTAACCAGTGATGATTAGTCGAGCCAAATAGTTAGTTTGAAGCCTAATTGAGAAGTGTGTCATGAGGAATTTATCACGAATGTATCATTTCTATAAAATTGAGTTCAAATGCAAAACATCTAAGATCAAAACGTTGATAAGTCTGGGATGTTTGGGAATAAGTCCCACAGTGTCCACAAATGTTGATTTTGACTTGCCAATATGGCTCATAAAAAATGGCCACTACACAACTCTGATGGATAAATACAGCTTTCATAAAAAATACAATAAAACATGAATCACCATATTTAGTATTCAGTGAGATGAGTATAGCAGAGAATGGTTTCTTTATGCCAGGTAGTAAAAATACCGTCCCAAATCCCAATATGGGCTCAGTAGTCTCTGCTGATGTGCTAGAGGGGATCATATTTCTCATTGTGCTGGAGCTGGCCCAGTTTTCTGACACAGATATTGGCACACTTTGTAGCCGATGCTGGGACAGTCATGTTACAGATCAATATGCCACATATGTCTGAGCAGACAGAGTGAGCAGAGTGGCTAACTGCTGTATTATTTATCAGGCCAGTGTCTGGGTCTGACTTTTGTAATATTTTAATACTCCTCACTTAGAAATCTGAATGTCTGTTTTTCTTCAGTGTTCTATAAAGGAGAGAAATAGGCTACTGGATTGTTCACCACAATAATTTGAGCGATCCATAGAAAGAAAGATCATTGTCAGTCTAAACCACTGATATAGATCAGTGGTCTAAACACATATTGTCAATAATATGTTTATAATACATGTGTAAATAATGTATATATATATATATATATATATTAGTGCTGTCAAATCGATTAATTAATATAATCGATTTAACTATATATTAGGAGTAGTTACATTTTGCTCAATATGCTTTAATCACCTTTTTGAGTGATGAAATTAATCAGAATTCTGTATATATTAATATAAAGATGAATAAAATTACACATGCCTTTCCTTTCCACTGATTAGGGGGTTCATATGACAAAAGAAATCATATAGTAACATCATAAAAATCACCCAAAATACCCGAGAAATCACACGAGAACACAAAAAATCATTTTTTTTTATTCTCCCACCTCCACCCCCACTCTTCAGAGGACAACTTTATTTATTTTTTTATAATTTTTTATTTTTATTTTTTATTTTATTTATATTATTACAGAAACTGTAATATCTTTTTTTTAAGTACATACACAATATGTTATCTTCAGATTACATTTATAGAAGTTTTTCACAGGTAAGCACAACTCAAATTTTCCTTGGACAACGTAAAAATCAAGTTAAAAATAAAATCCGATCAGATACAGTATAAAGTGCATCCTTAATAAGGCAGCTTAATGTTTTTGTATTGTGAAAGGATGATTGGTCCGTCTTGCTTGAATGGTGATGGTGTTTTATGAGCATGTTGTGTGTGTAGTTAGGCTTTTATTGGAGCTGGTTTTGTGCTGAGCTAAGAGTTTCTTTACGTTGTGAGCCAGTGTGCTGATCACACTTACAGCTAGAGGTGAACCTGTGGCTCTGCGGTGAGCTGCTGACGCTGACCTTCTTGCTATCAAATGACCACAGAAGCCATCTTTGCTTAGTTCAGTAGATGGCATATCTTTACATTGTCTTTAATCAGCAAAGGAAATTTTGGATGCTTGACTTGCAAGTCAGTAAATGTATTGCTTTCCATAGAAACAAGCATTTGCAAATCAAGTGCTTTCCTAAAATCATCAGTTCCTCTTCACATGCCCCACTCAGGCAAATTGTGTGTGGGTCTAGTTGATTTAGAATCAAGACGAGATGGAGTGCTCTTGTAAGCCCTTGATGGATTGTATCACCAAATTCACACACAGCTATCCTAGCAACCATAACCAGGTCATGTAAGAGTCAGGCACAGGCTTTTATGTGTGTAATAACCAGTCTTGCAGCCAGACTCAGATTCTTTTGCATATCTGTTTATTTTCTTGACTCTGTTTTACCATACAATCTTTTTTATTGTTTTGATTTTGTTTGTAATTATCATGAATGTAAGTAGAAAATATTATTGTATATTTAGATCATAAATCCCATAAATAAAGCAGTAAGTTAAGAGATGCTGTGTTACATTGCCTCAAGTAGCTTATTGTTTTCATAAAATGGTGGCAAGAGCAATATGATAAATGGAATGTATTAATGATGATAATCACTATAATCAGTTTTTCCAACAAGTAATGTAGCCCATTAGCCTAACTGCTTGATGTTTATGAAGAAATCTAGCAATGTTTGGCCATATCAGCTATTTTGCGAAATTTTAATGTAGCGGCCTTTCTGAGGAAAAAGCACTTAAACTGTAAAATAAACTCCTTTAGCACAATA